CCCAACAAACACATTTACGTTGTGTCAACGTCGCTGCCACGTTCCATTTTTACTGTGGCAACGTTGCTGTCTACGTGCTCCCGACATTGTAGCAACGTTGAATTGTAAGACGCGAAAGGGCTGTAGCAACGTTGTTACGCGACATTCAGCAACTGCGAGACGACGTTCCGACCACATTTATTTTTATGCCAGATTATAAATATTACCTTTGTGGTGAATCTCTTAATAATCAAACACAAGATAAATATGTAATACTTTTTCAAATACTGTTAATCATTAATTGTTCTTTTTAACGTAAAACCTGCTATGAAACTTTAAAGAGGAAAAATGCCATACAAGTTCATATAATCCAACTTTATTAAAACATTGCATACATGTCTATTGCATACACTACCAAAACATACATTTAAAAAAAAGTACGTTATATTAATTATATTTAGCTCAAATATAATGGACTACAAATAAAAAAGCTTTAAAAAAGGCATTTGAGAACTTTTGCTGAACAAAAGAAAAGCAGCTGAGACAGTCAGGTCACCGGCTGATGAGGCGGACTCGGGACTGGAGAACACGGCGGACAGGGGAGCGCAGACGGGAAGGTCGGACTCGGCAGACATCAACAGCCCAATAAAGATAAACAAATCCAGAGGAAAAGGCAAGCGCAGAAACCAGTCGGCAGGCACAAGTCAAAACCAGGCAGACAATCCGGGGACAGAGAATGATGTGCAGCAGGCAGGTAAAACTGGGCAGAGAACAAGACGGAGCAAAATCAAATAGCAAGCCATTAATATAGGAGGACACAAATAGGATCTTGATACGACAGGACAGGACACATGTATGAGCAGACAGTACAAAATAATCTCTCAACGAAACAAAGCACACTATAGCAGAAAAATGAAAGGAAAGAAGAAACATAGCCGCAACCAGCTGAGCGCAACCAATAGAAAAAAAGAGCAAAAGTTAGAAAAGAGAGACAAAGATCAAACCTGACTCCTGACAGAAACATCACATTAGCGTATTCTTTTCAGTCTTTTGATACTTTTATTTTAAACAGTTAAATAGTTATTTTAAACATCTATCAAATCTTAAGTAAATTTTGTACGAGTTATTTTTTATTTTATTTTAAGGTCCTTATTATAACAGGATAGTACAGATATGAAAGAAAAAGATAGTGAGAAAAGTGTAGGGTGACAAAAGCCAGGTTTGAGCTACAGTCATACGTACAGAAATGCTAGGCTGCTTGTACTACCCATAAGGCTGAGTCTCTGAATACTTACTTAAAATTATGAGAAGAGGTCCAATGAACCATCTTGTAAATGTGGGGTAACTGATCGCTGTAAAATTAAATGTCAAACTTAGTGTCATGTCAATATCAGCTGTACAGAACATTAAAGCAATATTAAAAATCTCACACTTGGGTTTTTAGTTTGGATTAATTTAGTGTATATTAAAAACATTGATTTGCACTTAACTGTAGCCTTGAGACTTTGAGGGAAGAAAAAAAAGTACTTAACCAGGGCTGGACAATAATAATAAAATACGTGTCTTGGAGCATATCCTCGAAAACAGTCAGTTATATCATAATTGAAAGTAAAAAGTTGAGAAAAATCGTATATGTATCAATATATTGGACGCATGCACATCTAAAGTGACCTCACTGCTGTCAGTGTACTTAATGTTAATACAAAAAAAACAAAAAAACATTCATTGTTCTTGACTGATTAACTTTTGTAGCTTTAACAATGATTCATCTATATTTAATTTATACAGTGAAGAATATGCAATATTATTACATTTGTTTATTTAATTTCTGTACCTGATCACCTACAAACTGTTCTATTTATTGTGCTATTGTTTGTAATTTGTTCATTTGTTTCCCTTATATTTCCCTTATATTTAACTAATCTAAATTTTTGCCATAAATTTATTTATGAGAATACAAGATAAGGATCA